CCTTTATGGCAATCGAAGTTCCGATACCAGAATGATAAGGAGGTGCTCAAATCAAACCGGGACATCTGAATATCCTGCTCTGAGGGAAAATGACACTACGACAGTGTCTCACCGCCAACATTAGATGTACATTTCAGGAGCCACTTACTTTAATTCTTCATTCAAATCGACCATTTTCAGACAGGGAAATAATTAAGGTGTTTGTCAAAGCTGTTCATCTATTGTTGAATGCATTTTATTCAACCCTAAAAGCACTTGGATTTTATGTGTTACCAGTGCCACGCATCTAGCATTGATTACCTCATCTCCTTCTACCGTCACAAATATGTGACACACGTATCGACCGCATAGTAAATTGCTACACTGAGGAAGGCGTTTAGAGCTCTTAGAATGTGCTGAATTGGATTGTTAGCAAGACACCTACACGTTTGTGGACTTAAGTGTCCCGCCCCGACTTCATCTACTCCCGTGCAAACACATAGGGACGAATAAGTCCATATATTTCCAAGTCAATGTCACTTCCTTCAGTATATTCCCACCGCGTCCGGTAAATTATCCAGTAGTGTCATCTTGATGACGTTGCCTTCCATTAAACTGGTCAGTTTGTGCGATATTTGTTAACCCCAACTTTGATCACCCACCAACCAATCAAGTAGTCTCACAATCAGTCAATCCCTGTTTCGACAATATAACGTCTCTACATGAATTTACGACCACACAATGCATGACTTCCACCAAAGTGGCGTATAAGCTAACTCATCTCTTCACTCAACCTCCTCGCCTCCCCATCAATACTTTCAACACCTCCGTGCACTCCACTCCCTTCACACCAATTTACTACTACCAGCAAGGCGTGCCATAGCTAACTACTTGTCGCCCCTGTACCTGCAGTTGGTCTGAAGACCACGTGCCGTCCATTCACCCACTCGCAGAGGCGACGATCACCGCGTGCGCAGTAAGTAATGCCAGTGGTCAAATCCTCCCTTGAAGAATGTGGGGCGATGACGGACGGAGGGAATTAAGACTCATTCAGTCCGATGTTCTGCAGGAAGTACCGCATGCACTCAATCACTTTCTTCGACTAAAAGGCTGATGACAATGGTGCTGTGAGCAGGGGGACGCAAAAAGTAAGGGAAAGGGGTTGAGATAGCCAAATTTGGCACGGGACTCACCCTCTCTACCATCACGCTGGCCACATTCTCAACGACAATCAGTTCTTATGATGCACCCTCACCAGTGCCTCGTGGAGATATTCGCATCCCTTGTGTAAGGTATCAGGATCCTAGCGAAAAGGAGAACAGGGCATCTGTTAGATGATCAAACTGCAGTATTAGCCATGCCTATTTCGAGTGCTGTCTTTTCTCTTAGTGCGACTCGGTTAGTGCATTGCCGACAGTCATTGCATTCATGTCGGCAGCCTACCTGCCCTTCCACCTAACGAAGACCTTCGCCATCACCAAATTGGAAAAATAACTATACTAAGAAAGAGCATTCGTCGATAGCCTATTTTGTTACCAAAAATTAGAGCCAAACACCGTTTAAACGATCGTGCACTCAGCGCCAAATTAAACACTGAAGCTTTGAATGTAGTAGCTATTCACTCGGGCATTTTGAAGTAAAAAGATGAGGTAAAGCCTTCCCTTCTCATTGTGGAGTATTACTAATAGACAGGTCAACTCATCTTCTACAGGGTTATCGTACTGCATGCAGGCAGTGATGTAACGATTGAGGTTAAGCGGATTGATGGAACGCTGTAAGTTCTTTCTTGAATGTTCAATAGCTTGCTTCAGCTCCAGCTCTGTACCAGTGTCTTTCAGTCGAAAGGCGTATGGTCAAGTCATTCAAAGGTAAGAGACCTTACAAAGAGAGGTTCTGTTCAAGTGGAGTCACCTTCATACTCGTACTCCATCCATCCCAATGGGCAAAATGGATGCTTTAAATATGATCACCACACCACTGCTACTTGCAGGTGCTCTCGACTGTCTATAAAGTCTGCACACCATAGGCTAGCTAAACGGGTGCTCGGTCACCGCACCCTCGAACATGGCGATGGTTTGAGGTGATGGTTGGTTCCTCTCCTTACGCTTTTGCTGGCTTGCATTTATTGCCTCCCTTGCGTGTCACATTTTACTTAGTGTGTACTGTGGACGGTGGCAGTGACACGGTGACGCCCCCTTCTGCAGCCATGAGTGCAAATAAGGTAGTTGGGGATCGGCTTAAAACCTTCTACTTGCAAGGCTCACTGAGCCGCCTGGTAGAAACGATGGTGAATGATACCTTGCTACTAGTAAATTGGACACAGCCTTGTTTTTTTCATCCTCTCCCATTAGGACAAACTCATAATAAACTTTTTGCCTTAGTATATGCACCAATTGAATCCATTAATTTTAGTTAAAGTGAGGCTTATCTGCTCTCATCAGACTTCAATTGTTACGGTTGGATGTAAGTGATTAGTAATGACCGATGTAAAATCTTCAGACATCTAGCTGTCCTACTTTTCCTTCTTTACAGATTTTTTGGTGTAGAAAGGCACAGACACTTCAATTTCTTTTATTTTAAGAACAGAAAATGCCCTTTTGGTGTTTTAAGAATGGTTCGGTATCTTAACAACACGATTTGCTGTGCGACGGTAGCACGCGTCACATATTTGTGTAACTAGACTGAGATGGGATGATCAGAGCCATAGATGCATGACAATGGTGGCATACAACTTTATTCTTAGCAGAAATAAGATTTACTAATTACCATCTAGACGTAGGAGTAAGGCTAACAAACAGCTCAATTCCCTCCTGTCGGGGGAAAAATAAAGTAAATTAAAAATTTTTGAAGAAAAATTTGATAAGACTTACTCCCCGAAAATTGCATTTTATTCATAACCTATGGATCCCATTTCCTTATAACATCATTTTCGGCAATTATTTTAGTCCAAAACAGTTCTACCCCAATGAGCGAGGAAAACTATAATCGCTCTCTATCTTGCCTTCGAAGTAACCGAAAGTTACTCCCGGCGGAATTGTATTTTTGGAGGAGCTGAAGGGAAATAAAATTCGTCTTTACCCCTTAGATTTACAAATTAGAAATGACAGAAGGTACAGAAAACACCTCCTTTCACACACAGTTGAACATACGGTATGAGTCTGACCAAAATCCACTCCTGATAAATTTTACACAACGCAGATGATGATGGTCACGGTAGCGATGATAATAATGGGGGAAGAGAATATTTCTTCTCATTGGAGTAGCGGTCTGATGAAGATTATGACAACGTTAATTGGTTATCTGTTTGGCAATATTGCTACATGGGTCGAATGCATCTGAGCAGGACCCATTTACTTACGAGGGATAGGTGAAGGCACTGGACGAAACGAGCTTGCAATAATAAATTTGGCTTGGTGCACTCCACTTTTTTGTGGTTTCCGTTTCCATTTTGGTGACATGACGTTTCGATCTAATCATATCTTTCCTGCTGACAGTTCACCGGCCTCTCCTTCTTCCTTTTTTCTTCTGTGCACTCTTAGTATGGTAGGGATCAATCCAGAAAGGCGTACACGTCACGCCCGTCCATGCGAGACGGAAGGTAAGTAAGCAATACCTCCACTACAGGGACTGGCACCTTACTCGAGAAGAACCGAACAACCCCTCCTCGGCTACGTTACACTTGACTCTCAGAAGGAACAGTCATCAGAACTGAGGATCCCCAGATAGCATAAGCTGCCAAAGAGAAATGCAGCACGCGAATCTACCATGCCAACAGTTAGATATGAAGAGTTTGTGGTAGGACTTGGCATGACTTCCCACAAAAAATCGCTAGAAACGATAAATAGCAGAAGAATCTACAAATTAAAACGATGTTAAGTGCATTTAACTGCATGCCCTTTCAAGTTTATCAAATATGGTCGTTACAAGTAATGAATTACTAATTTTGGAGGTCAGCATGAATAGGTAAGGAAGAGTCAATACCTGCTCAACTAACTTCTGATGACAGAAGACAAAGGGCTGGCTCACAAATCCAAATCGGTGCAAGATAAGAAAACTTTCTGGGACAAGGTACATTCCAGTGGTTTTATTTTCTACTTAACAAGCTGGAATAGCATACAAGTGGTAAAATAAGTATTTTGAAAACTTTTTACCCATTTGCTTATTTATTGGCTAAGTTGTTAATTCACACATTCCAAGGTCACTGTGAGTTTGTTAATATTTAGGCAAAAATTGTCAATTCAAAGACTTTTGAAGATCAAATAATAATGCGTCAGATTAAAGAGGCTTTCATTTCTCCACATAATTAGAAATAAGATCTTAAATACCATAAAGAACTTTTGCAGGCGTTGCCAAATTAGAGGCAAACCATTTTCTTGGGAAATCCTATTAAGCCAACTTCATATCTATAAAAGCCTTAATTAAAATTAGTAAGAATTTGCCTGGCATCTGATTAGTGACCACGAGGATTTCTGTTGCAATATAATCCTTTCTGTAGTTCCTTTACATTTTACGATTTCACCAATCCAAACATTCAGCTCGAATGAAATGCACTTCGATCGACTTTACATACAGCGCCGGTGAGGCTATCTGCGATTTAGATCACCTTGCGAGGAGGGTGAGAGTGACCGACGATATCATGGGGATAAAAATAACCGGAAGTCGATGGCTGCACAAAACGACCAAAAAATTCCACTTTTTTCTTATTTGAATGATGTAGTTTTATTTGATGAGTGGGGAAAAGTCACGCAACAAGTCATGCCTTTAAAATCCTCTCCTCCACTCGGGAACGGTCGACCAAACAGCTGAAGTAGCCTTTGCATGGAGGTCACACACCAAGGCAGACAGCCCATTCACACCTTTCTGCAGACCTGTTTTCTTCAGAGGACTAAGTAAAGAGGGAGAGTGTGCATCGTGGTGTGATTCAGACTCCACTTGGTAGCAGAAGTAATACTCGGTGAGAAAAACGTCTACTTGGGTTGGATTCCCGACAGAAGTCCAAAACTCACACCTTCCTTTCCCATCAACGACACTACCTAGCTTGACTTTTTTGGCTCAAAAAGGCAGAGGCCTAGAATTGATGTTTTACTGATTTACTGGGCAGAACACAGGCTACAGAGCATGACTACTTTCCCTTTTTTTTACCTCTACGTAAAGGTAATATCAGACAGATAATTAAGACGCAGAAAAGTCAGCTTATTTGCAATTTTGAAGTCGTGGTTGTTTCCTCATGCAAACACCTTAGAAAAAGCAATTTCGCATTAGCATTAACCAAGAGGTTGAGATGTAGCAATGGCTTTCGGCGGCCCTACATTTACGTCAATAAGCAAAAGTCCCTTTCACATAAAATAAATTGTGCACATGATTCGGCTTCTCTGGAGGCTGTTTCGTCCTACCTTGTAGAGTGTCTAACTTTTGCTGGTGCAGAAAATAGGGAGAGGATTGAAAACTGAAGGCAAAAGAACCAAAATGCTTGCTCTTGCCCCCTTCCCAAACAGCGCGAAGTGGTCAATGTTGAAAACGAAGTAGAGAGGTAGCAGAAAGCTACAGAGAAGTCAATTTAACTCCAGCTTTGGTTTCATGAATGTCGACTTATGTAGACATATTTAAAGTGGCGATTCTGCTATCGCATCAACAGCGAGGCTAGGATGCAGCGATGGCTTTCGACTGCTCTACATTTACATCATCGGGCAAAAGTGCCCTCTCCTTTAAACAACTTGTTCACGTGAATGGACTTCTTCGGGACCTGATTCATCCCACTTCGCCCCATCGTCGGTAAAGGAGTCCACTGCGAATCGGTCCAAAATGGATGTTCTCGCACCCTCGCCACAGCATCATGTAGCCAATGCTAAAAACGAGTGAAGAAAAAGGAGGCAGTTATAAAACAGCTTCCTTAAACTTAGACCCATTTGCTTCCAAACCGCACAATATGCCACGAAAAATCGCTAAAATGTGTCCAAAAGGAAGTCATTTATTTGTTACCTTGTGCTTCTCCTAAGTGCACACGCATTGCTGTTGCATGTCACAAAGAATACAATCATCCATTGTCTCAGCTGCATTGCTCTCATTTTTTGCTCTTTTTAGATGAAACAAGTAGCCTTTGCAAAGAAGATAGATTGCAGCCAGAAGGACTGGAGAGAAATAAAATCAGAACAAAGTGCGTGTCTCTACTTGGATATGATTGCGAACGCCCCTCACTCGAAGCAAACAGAGAGCAAATGTGAGAGTAAACAGACTTTAAGTGGTTGAAAACAATTTTCAAGCTTTCAGAGATGTTTCACAGTGTCCGGAATGTGTATCTACTATTCAGAAGACAAAAAATAATAGAAGCTCTCTCATCACTTTGGCTATTCGTGGCATGTATTCCTCAACTTTGATCTGCAGTGAGGAAGCAGCTGTTGAAGATGCAGACAGCCATGGTTAGCAGAAGACTCGCATCTTTCGAAATTCGCAGATCATTGAACATTAGGTAAGGGCTGTAGACAAATGTGGATAGTCGTAACTTGCCCTCATCTGGTGCACCTTCATATGTCC